AATGCGTCCTTGATCAATAAAGGGTCATTCCTTTAATCTCGAGCGCTTGTTCTCCTCAGGCGGATGGGCCCTGACCCGCAGAGACCTCAAGCTCATCCAGCCCATCGGGAAAGGAGAGTTCGGAGGTGTGTGCGTGTGTGTGTGTGTGTGTGATGATACAAGTGTGTGACGCGAGCTGGTTGTGTGTGTGTGTGTGATGATGATACATGTGTGTGATGCCAACTGGTTGTGTGTATTCAGATGTGATGCTGGGAGATTACAGAGGGTCGAAGGTCGCGGTGAAGTGCATCAAACACGACGCCACAGCGCAGGCGTTCCTCGCCGAAGCCTCCGTGATGACGTGAGCAAACCTGCACTCCACAACATCCCATCATAACCATTAACTCACCACATCTCCTGTATAACCTCTGACACTCTCCGCTGTTCCTCCTGTGAGTTAGATCGCACACGTCTGCCATGTTTGTAGTTTTCAACACTTGCTATTCGTGTTTGTAGTTCTAATGGCGCAGTGGGTTGTGGTTCTAACCGGAAATAGTAGACCATGAGTGTGTGTGTGTGTGTGAAGTGCTTCTGGAACAAGAATGTGGGCGGGGCTTGTGGGGAACTGATTGGCTGATTGTGGTTTGCTATTGGCTGATCTCATGTGAGTGACAGGTTATAGCCCCGCCCTCGCCATCAGAGAAGAGATGCTGCGAGAGGAACTGATTTGACATTATTAACACAATGATGATGATGATGCGCACTCATAAATCATTATAAACCATACATTTTGATTTCATGGTGACTTTAAATCTGTGTGTGTGTGTGTGTGTGTGTGTGTGTGTGTGTGTGTGTGTTGCAGTCGGCTGAGACACACTAACCTGGTGCAGTTATTGGGTGTGATCGTGGAGGAGAGAGGCAGTTTGTTCATCGTGACTGAATACATGGCGAAGGTCAGTGATGTCATGATGCACGATACAAACAAAAACACTCGTATTTTGTGTTGGAGAATCTGAATTTAATTGAACCTAATAATCAGAAAAAGCTTCTCTACATTTTTTTAACGTTTTATTGAACATTTAGACGAAATCTGAATTAAATAAGTTTGTTGAGTATCATATTTGATGCATCAGGCTTTTAATCCTCATATAGTGAGAATATGAAGGAAAAATCATCTCAAACTGAGCAAAAATATGCATTTAGCTGATATTTAGTTAGTTAGTTAGTTTACTTTATTGTCATTCAAACATGTTAGACATGAAGGAACAAAATTCGTTTCCCAGGTCCGGCAGCGTAATACAGAATAAATAACAATTCAATTCTCAGATAAACCCCAATAAAACGTATAAAATGGATTATATATATTACATTAAAATATCCTAACCATAAAAACAATCAATAACTATAACCCATCTGACATATAAATATCAATATCTGCCAATAATGTCTCATATTTAAATGCTTTAGTTGTGTGTGTGTGTGTGTGTGACAGGGCAGTCTGGTGGATTACCTGCGCTCGCGGGGTCGAACGGTCCTGGGCGGCGAGTGTTTGCTCCAGTTCTCGCTGTGAGTAATCCTCTGTATTAAACATCATGTTTGTCGTCCGGTGTGTGTAACGTAAAGACGAGCTCCATTTGCACGACTTTGACTCACCAATCGTTCATCGGTGTAGACGTGAATATAGTAGGGCTGTGCAAAAATTAATAGCGATTAATCGCATCCAAAATAAAAGTCTGTGTTTACATAATATATTTGTATGTGCTGTATATAATTATTTTGTATATATAAATACCTATGCATGCATGTATATATTTAAGAATTATTTGCGCTTAAATTCTCTCTCTATATATATATATAATCTATATTATATAAATATAAATATTTTATATATGAATAACACATTTTTCTTAAATATATACATGCATGTGTGTGTATTTATATATACAAAATAATTATATACAGCACACACAAATATATTATGTAAACACAGACTTTTATTTTGGATGCGATTAATTGCGATTTATTTTTGCACAGCCCTAGAATATAGCTATCGTTATAGTTATCTTTATTGGCTCTGTGGAATGCTTGATTCTGATTGGTCAATCACACATCCAGCGGTTTATTATTCCCCAGTAACACCAGAACACAGAAACACACTGATGACATCAGCGATACACACTCGCGAGGAATGGGTTTAGCTTTTGTGAGCTGATAAAATATTAAAACTAGTCAAATCAATATTTTGTGTAGTTTTTTAATTAAGCCCTCCAGTATCGTGGACTCTCTCGTTTCACACGAACGCAGCGGCGGCCATTTTGTGTCTGTTGTTCTGTTCTCTGTCGGATGCTGATCACCCTGACGCGTTTATTCTGAAATAATAACCGTCTTACTTAAAGACACACACACAACATGTCTGTCTGTCCACTGGGATCTTCAGGAGTGTGTGTGTGTGTGTGTGTGTGTTTCAGTAACGTGTGTGAAGCCATGGAGTATCTGGAGGCCAATAACTTTGTGCACCGAG